CAACATAAGTATTCTACAAAACACACAAAATAATCACATAATATATTCATTTTATGAATAGCCAGTGTATCTAACACATAACAATCAAGTGGAATCTATATGATTTTTTTCTATGCTACGTAACAAATATGTCCTATATCTATAATTTATTGTTTGAGAATTAATGCCTAGAAATAAGCTACATGTTTGCTTTGACACTAACAGGTATATCATTCCAATGATGTGTTTTATGTTGCAATTATATTTTTTTCAAGTATACTTTAAAATAAGTGAACTTTAAGATAACTTCAGGATATTTTGAGAGGTTTAAAAATATTGAATATATTTAAAAACTGAGTATTTAAATTTATAAAATACAGTACTACAACTATCTCACAATGGAAATACTACCCTAAGGTAGAAAATTCACTTTCAATATCTTTTAGGTAGGCAAACAGTACTATTTTATGAAGCATATGGAAAATTAATGTCAATGTAATAGGAAGCATTAAGAAGAACTAGATATTTTGTGATTAATGTGATTTAATTTTCCTTGTTTAAATATTATTGGAAATAATATTAGAAGTAATATTTCCATTATGAGATACTTCTAGTACTGTATTTTATAAATTTAAGCACTCAGTTTTAAGTTTCTTTCTTTTTTTTTTTTTTTTTTGTAGAACCTGGGATTGAACTCAGGACTTTGTGCTTGCCAGGCCAAGTGCTTACTCCACTGAGCTATCTCCCCGGCCCAATACTCAGTTTTAAATACAAATATTTATTTAGTACAGAAAAATAAAATTACACCTAGCCTTGATAGGAAGTACATTTAATGTAATTTAATTGTGAATAACAATTACAAATATAATTCAAATATATCAAGTTTTAAAAGGACTCGTAAGGAGTAATGATTCCTTTCCCATGAAACATATTTGAGAGATGTCTCCTTGTACTCCTCCCTATGATTTCCACTTGGTGGTCTTTTAGAGGCAGCTGCTTCCAAATATTCATGAAAACCATCATCCACGTACTGCAGTCTAATCCAGAGAATTAAACATAAGGACTCCAATACTATTCACTCCAGGATTCCAGAAAAACATGGATTTTTGAAATACCACATAAAAAGAATTTCAAGACCTTCAGAGCTTTGCCTTTCCTTACTCAGATTTGAAAATTCTAACCAAGAAATGTATCACTGATATAATTTTTAAAAGATTACTTAAAAATTATACCATTCATTCAACACAGAATAATTTCATGTTGAGCTAAATAATTTTCCTGTGAGATAGCTAGTATTATAACTCAACTTGTGAATCAGAATTTGAGAAAATAACGAGTGTTTGAGTAAATCGCTAAAAACGGCATTATAAATATTCAAAAACAATACAAGTGTAGCATAGAAGGAACATTTCATTATTGATACAATATATTGTAAGATCTAAACTAAAAAATCACAAACTGAAAGATCAGCAAAAAATTCTTGCTAACCTTCAATGAATTGGTAGAGATGCTATACTCCTAGACTATTTAACCAACCATTCCAAAAATTTTGATTTTTCTTTATCGAAGCATAACACTCGACATGTTATAGTACATATCATAAGAAAGTAATATGTGATATAATTTTTGATGATAAAATCAAGGTAATAAGCATTTATATAATTTCAAGCATTACCTTTGTGTATTGAGAATTTTTTT